AAAAGGAGAGACATATATTACTCTTTGTAATACTTTAAGTAATAAAACAATTTAAAAAAAGAAGAGCTCATTCCTTCTTTATGAATTACTAGGAGCACAGGGCCCGATTGGAAATCATGTGGTGCCACCCACTCCCTCTCCGGCCCTTGAAGCAGCCAAAGCCGCTGCTGATCAGGTCCTCCCCCAGCACAGGTGCAAGAAGGCCCCTGCCACCCCACCCCTGATGCTGTGCGAGCAAGCTCCTGTCCGGTCGACCCTTTATGGCTCCCTGGTTAATTAGCATATTTCTCTATTATATATATAGATATTATGACTCTTCTCCCTCCCCATCTTTTTATTCATATCCAAAAGTGTCTTTGGTGTGGGAGTGCAGAACACTGTGTGTCCCACTCACTAGCAAGTCTGAGCAAAAACCAACCTATATTTGGTGCTGCACCTGAAATGTCCTAGAGATTGGGAATTATTTTGTTAGAAGTCACAACAGCGCTGTCCCAAGGCTCAGAGCCATTTGGGTACCTTCCTGGAGTAACCCATTGTACCTCCTGGCTTTATGTTGGGCTTGTTGGCTGAAAGGGTTGGAACAGATGGGAAATTTGGGCTTTGGGTTGGGGGAGGGATATAAACCAGTTTAAAAATAAAGCATTTTACCCCTGACTTAACTACTCCCAAATGGCCTTTTCTTGGCTTTTCTCTCTTATATTTTGTACCATTTGATAATTTGATCAGCTGCTGCTGCTTGAACTCTTGACCTTGGCTTTTGTGAGATTGTACGCCTTGGCATTCTAATTATGTGGTGATAGCTCTATTTAGTTTTGTTTCTCTGGATATTCTTCTTATCCTTACCTCCCATTGTTGTTGTTGCCCTAGGTTTCTGGCCTTCTTTCTAAGCACTTTCTTCCAGGGCAAAATTCCTTGGTTTTCACAATTTCTTCTGGGCCATTGACTCCTAAACCTGTATAGCTATTTCCTATAACCTCTCTTGATCTTTAAATCTACCTGCATATCTTGCCGGCCCCTACAATTCAACATATTAAAGAGAATATTTGTCATCTTTCGCCCTCTCCCAAGCTAGCATTCCTCATGTTTTAATTATCATGTTTAGGATTGAATCCCCGCCCCCCCCCCCCCCCCCACACACACACACACCAAATCAACTTTAACCTCCTCATTTTCCTAAAACTAGATTTAAGAACCTTCCGACAGACTCCAGCCCATCTTTTCAGCCATCCTTCCACCCCCAACTGCCCTTCTCCAGCTCTTTTCAAACTTCACTACATTTGCCATCAAAGCTCACATAGTCCTCACCTCTGAGACTTCATTTAATGTCATTCCTCTGCCTCAACTGCCCTTCCTGTTCCCTGTTGTATCTTTTATAATCTTACTCATTTTTAAAGCCTATAGTAAGTGCCCCTCAACACTTCTAGAGTCCAGTAAGCACATATGATCCTTCCTTCCTCTGAAATCTTGAACTAGACCAGCATATACTAGGCATTGTACTAGGCACTGTACATCCAGCACTCAATTCACCCTGTCTATAATTCTGCTTGTGAGGCAGGTATTGTACTTTTTTGTATTCCAATTACATGCTAAAAGTTTATTTTGGTTTGTTTCTCTGGCTTCTTGTCTGTTCCTCACCTCCCTTTGTCACTGCTACTTTCTAAAGTAGCAAAGCCCAGAAATCGAAACTAGGTTTACTGGCCCTTAATGATTTCTGCATACTCCTTGAATGGCATTCACTGATGGTACTCAAAAGGCCTTTGACATCAGGTAAGGACTATGGCTGAATCACAGTAAGTAGAGCCCTACACCCAGTGGGAGCTCACTGATTGAGAGATGGATGATAAATGGATGATCAGAGAAAAGTGTAGCAAGTTAAAAATCAATCCTGTACACAACAAAAAAGAGATTTAAAACCAATTTCCAGCCCCGATTTAGTTTACTTTTAAAAGAACTCAGAGGATG